TAACCAATTTGAAGAGCATGGCATTTTAGTTGATGTTTATCCTTTAATTATTAATCAAAATTTAGTTTATATTGAAGAATCGACATCGAATGAACTTGATATATCAACTCTTTCGTCCCCTTATCGATCAATCGATTGTTCCAATAATGATTGGCCTGTACTGGCTAGCAACAATCAATTTTTAATATTAGATCAATATCCAAATTTATGTTTATTTAATAAAGAGTTGACTCTTTTAAAACAAACTTCATGGGAATATGATCGCATTCCTGATATGTGTTAGTCATCGACATTAAATAGTTTTATTACCATAACAAGCACAAATGGAGTTTTTCTGATTAACGAAAATCTAACATCAATTGAATGCATTAGAACAATTCTTTAATTTTTGAACCGAACAGTAGAATTAATTATGTAATATAATAATAATTTAATTTAATAGAAGAAACTAATGAACAATTGTTTAGTTTTTGAATCGAGCAGTAGAATGAATTTTGTAATATGATAACAATTCAATAGAAGGAAGTAATGGACAAGGAATATTTTTTTTGAAAAAAAGTAAATTTTTTTTTCTTTTTTTTATTTGAATTGAAACGATTCGATTCGTCAATTACGAATTGGTGAAGTTTGAACAATCTATTTGATCTAAATTCTTCTTTTGTGGATTCGAATCGATTGTTATCAATATATATATTTATTTGTTTTATTGAATATTATGGAATTATAGAGGAAAATCGTTTCACATATATTTTAAATGATAGAAGTATATATATATATGTATATAATTCTATTTTTTTTATTTGAATAAGGAATTCACAAGAGTAATGTAAGCAACGCATTTCGAATTTTATCTTCGTCAGGCTAGATAGCGACCAAAAATAAGGTGAAAAGAACACAAATGTATAGAAAATACAGAGGGGAAAGAAAAAAAGAGAAAAAAAAGGAAAATAATAATAATATACAATATATAATGATTTGACAAGTTGTCATGATATAATATGGTACAATATAAAATAATATAGATCATATAAGTCATATAGTTAGAAGTCATATAAACTATAAGTTGCGATGTGATGTGATGTGATATTAGTTATAAGTCATACAAGTTGTACAAGTTATAAATCATATAAATATGAGATGTGATGTGAAACGAATAAATGATATAAATTATGATATGTGAGATGAGTAAATGGTGTGGTAGTTGATGCAAAAAAGTTGCTTTTTAATATTCAGTGACGATAAACAATTGTGTGATAATTGATAGTCGATCGAAAAGGATTGTATCATGATGTGGAAGCATTGAAAGAAATTGTTTTATCATGATGTAGA